GCTTGTGACATTGTAGGGAGGGCGAAGGAGGCTGGACATTGCATCCAAAGATAAATGAAATACTTGTCTATATATCAGCGTTGTGATATATAAATCCAGAATGTCTAACCCTGTTCGTATACAAGTTCTTGAAGGTCTTTTGGGAGAGCTTCCAATCGCAAAAGTGCTATTGGCTGTGTTCCGATATCTCTTGGGAGTCTTATTCTCATTGAAAATTGTTAACATCTCCTTGATTTTCACGCTGACAGTCAGCTACAATTTGCCGTTTCTCTAACCCACCGATGATGCAAAGCAGGTTCTCTCTCTGCAATATTCCTAGTTGTATTAAGAAACGTTGAACAACCAAGAGAAGTGTTGATGAGCCACAATGACTCATCATTTAGCTTTCTCTGTAATTTTGCGACTCACATTTTTACTGTGCAACTCTTCAGCGGCTTCCATGTAAGCAGGCTTCATTGCTTTGCAGTGACCACACCCTGAAATTATCGAACGAGAGGATAGAAACTTCAATAGCCTGGCCTACCTTAACCTAGCCTACCTGTTTAGCCATCGGCCGTCCTGAGAAAAAGCTATCTGGTGAAGTAACACGGGTGTTACGGAGTTGTTTTGGAGAGATGGCCGTCATTAGAGGTTCGACAGTGCGTAACCAGAAGCCGATTAAACTAATTCAACAAGAACACATTGAGAGCCAGAGTGATCAAGAGCGGCTCCCAGTGATTCCGCTTCATAAGATGTCCAATTCGAGTCAACTCTTTTTCACGGTCGAAAATGTCTGACTCTCAATTACAGAACAATTCTAGTCTCAAAGAAGAATCTCGACTGAACAAAGAAAAAAAAAAATTCTTAACTAAAGTAAAAAATCTTGAATCGCCTTCTGTCACAGGACTTACATCACAAATAGTATAAGTTAGGACAGGTTTGTGCCAATGGGTTGATTCATAATATAAAGCTGAAACATCGCCTTTACTAAGGTAAAGCAAAAAATCTAAAGAAAAAAAGTTCCCAGTTACATGATTTTCATGTCCAAGAAATCGAGCAAGACACAAACATACTTACAAGGTGCATAGAACATGACAAGAACCGAATGGTGTGTCTTCACAAATTCCTCAAAAGTATCGTCAGTTAGGTGGGTGACGTGACTTGGCATATCTTTCCACTCTGGTTCAGAGGGTGGGGGTGGGGGACCTTCACGAGGATTCTCCATGAACTGAATAAAGTCCTTAGCCACCCGTCCTCCGATGTACTTGAAGTCCTTCTTGCCGTAGTTGAAGTAGCGGAAGGTAGGGTATCTGGAAAATAGTTGATAACCAACACCGCGGTAAAACGCACTGCGCATGAGTAAAAAAATTGAGCTTCCGGTCCGTCATTTTTCTAGAAGTTGACGCATGCGGATACGTTTGCCGCAGTTTTTTGATAACCTATCTTAACTTTTACAATTATCAATACATTTCCGGGGCCCGTTTCTCGAAATTCCTGATAAAGGTACGAGCCACTGAAGCCCTATCTATATCTAAGGAATAGAAGTGCGAATCTGGGCGCATTCTGTTTCGTTTCCTGATATTTCAGCGTTGGAATTTCAAAACTTTTATCACCTCGCTCTCATACATAGTCAGGGAACAACGAAGAAGTACACACCCCTGCACGTCAAACTGGTTACACACAGATCTGTGGACTGTACAATCAACTGCAGCGTATGCAACCTAACAAAAGAGCCAAGAAGTTTTGGTGATTCAAGCAACTTTTAAGACACACTTATTACTAAAGGTATTTATCTTCGTTTACTACACTTTCCAATCCTCCTCAAAGGTCCATTTCAGCTGCCCTCTCGAGTGTCAAATCATTTCTGAATAGCAGAGATACCGGTAATTGAGGATCTGATCTCAGATAACTCTTGACTGGACTAAAACTTAAGGGCCGGTTTATTTACACGAGGTATAGCCCAAGCCACGGTTTTTACGCAATCAGTGGGCCTCAGGCTTTTATCTATAAGAATGTTGATTTCATGAAATAAATGCCCTTCAATTGTTAGCGTTCGGCTAAGTAGGGAACTATTTAGGACGCGGTTTTGTTAAACAACGGCTAAATTTTGTTTAAATAATGAGACTTAAGCGTCTTAAGAATTTTGCAAAGTTAAAACTTATTCTTCAACCATCAAAGAGTCTATCATGAGAAAGAATGAGCCTATCTATAAGAAAAGCATCAAAAATGTCAAAAACATTTCTGTGACAGTTGATTAACTAGCACATGAGACACGACTTCAAATTTACAAAACAATCACTTGATAAAGTTGTCTAACCTTAGAGTTTTCCGCATCATGTTTAGCAGCTTCCATAAATTCTGGTTTAGCTTTCTTGCAGTGACCACACCCTAAAATGGATACAAGAAACCTTTTTGACACATCAAAAAATGCAAAAAATAAAATTAAGAGAAAAAAATAGCCATCATATATCAAATATAAGATGTAGCTCAGACTGTAGCTCAGTGTTACAGAAACCAAGTGATGATTCAAAGGGTCAGATGTTTAAATTTCTATTTCCACCTCATATTTAATTTAGCTCCCTGTTTTGGACGGGTTTCTCCCTTTTGTCACCACTCTCCTTACATCTCAGCACTAAACTCTCTGGATCAAGGTCCCATGAAAAGAGATCGTTGTTACTCTCTCTGATATTCAACTTACATGGTGCATAAAACATGACCAAGACATGTTTCTTTTTCTTCAGGAATCCTTTGAAAGTGTCATCTGTCAGGTGTTCCACCTCACTCTCCACGTCACTCCAATCTTTCTCTGGGGGAGGGGGTGGGGGTGGTTCTTTTGGACTGGATAAAACAAAAAAAAACTCTGTCAGTATCAATTTACATTGTATACAAAGATTAAGCACACAATATGCACTTACTCTTTCATAAATGCCACAATCTTGTCAGCCGTTCTCTCGTTCACATCAAAAGCAAATTCACCATCTCTGATAATAAAAAAAATTTCACAAATTTTATGTCAATTTTTCCCAAACCAAACAAGGCAGTTAACTCTACAAGTCTCAACCCAAACACAAATGTAAAACCTTTCACTTACTTGAAATATTTCACTGAAAACAGATGAGAAAAAGAAAGCAGGTAAGTGATGAGCAAGTAACACAAACCAACCAGCACAAGGTCTACATAGGCACTAATACATTTGTTCACAAAGTCCTTGAAATGAAATCAGGTGGTCACTTGACAGTTTCATTCAGCCAAAGAAAAATCATGGTTGCATTCAATGTCAGGGGAGCACGACTGAAACTTCCATTTCAACAGGATCCCTTTGCCACAGTAGCAAAGAGGTGGCCTGGGAAGAAACTATTTGCTAGGAAAAACATTATTTGTGGATGGACAGGTCAACTCTCATACCTGTGGATTGAAAGTTTGAATATCACATTTTAACTTTACATAAGCAAAAATATGTGGAAGCCAATTCAAGTAAAAGAAAGCCTTTGCAAATGATCATTGTTTCTCCAAAACCTCCAGCTCTAGATGGGAAAACACCAGTGCAAGACACAGGCCAAGCCAGTATCAGATCCATTTGCAAAACTTTCCAATAAGAACAGGTTTTTTAATCTTGGCAAAACAGCATGTGCACACTGAAACACAAAGGCAGCATCAACACTTGCAAACAAGAGGGGTGAAAAAGTCTTGGCTCAGAAAGTCACTAAGAGGTTGTTGATCAACTCAGTTACCTGTTGGATAGCCCTCAATTTTGAATCTTTTGCCAACTGCTGTTTCCTTTGTTGCATCTACTGCTGCTATCACACCAGGAACCTGAAATCATTGTTACCAGTCAGCCTTCAACACACAAGTAAGAAATTTAGAATTATCATTAAAGATATACAGTAAGAATAGTTGGTTTTACACTACTCACTCAAAATCAAATTTATTGCACTCTGTCAAATATTTAAACTGAAAGTACCTCCTCCTCCTTCATTGTTTTGGCTGCATCTGTGTATTCAGGCTTCATAGCTTTGCAGTGACCACACCCTGAAAGGCCAAGAATCAATACATAAAAGGCTGCTCATGAAACTGTCCATAACTGTTGTTCCATGATCTTGTCTTCCTAGAGAAGACCTTTGTGGGCCTGACATAACATTTATGTATGTTACCCATTCACTCTGAATTGCTTCTTTTTTTTAACAAAAATCAATTTATCACAAAGTGATAGCAAGAAACACTAAAAAGACAAGTAAGAGATTTTGACTTTCGAGTTCCTACAAGGCCAGGCAAGTAGAAATAAAAAAAAAATGATACTTACAAGGAGCATAAAACATGACAAGAACAGATGGATTGTTTGCAATAAAGTCATCAAATGTGTCATCTTTGAGATGGACAACATCACTAGGTATGTCACTCCACTCCTCTTCCTTAGCAGGTGGAGTTGAAGGAGCAGGGCTAAAATAAAACAACATTATACACAAGTTTAAAATTAACAAATCTTAATTACTCTTGAAGATTACATACATGGTAAAGAGAGTCATATAGCAATTGATATTGTAGATCCTTTCAACCATTTTACTCCCAAGTTCTAATTAGTAATTCTCCTTACTGTCTGCCAGACATTTTTCATGATTTTAGTTTGGATAATATGATATTGGATCAACTAATAATCCCCTAATTGACATTTGTGTTTTTTCTCATCACTTTCATACTTGAGATTGTATTGATATTGTAAGAATAAATTTGGTGTTGGTCTGTCATACATAAAGTCAAAGAGTTAAAAGACAACTTCAAAAACTCTTCTCAAAATATTTTTACAGTCCATTGTATAAGCACAGTACCAAGAAAAATTGTCTAATATCCAGACACTAGTATCTAAAATGGACTCTTAAGTCAGACAAAGTGATGAAAATTGGACAAAGGTGTCGAGAAAGCAGACACTAGTTAGTGGCTAAAACCAGACATTAGAGTCTAAACCCAGACACTATTGTCTAAAACTAGACACAAGTGTTAAAATCAGGCACTAGCATCTAAAATTGGACACAAGCATCTAGTGTCTAGCCAGTGTCCAAAATCAGATACTACTGCCTAAAATCCAACACAAGATCTAAAATCCAAAACTAGTGTCATACATTGGACACAAGTCCAAAATTGTTACACTACTGTCTAATAGAGAACCAGGACAGGAATGGTTGCATTAATTCATTAGTAACTCCAGATATACAAAATAAGACTTACTTTCTCATCCACTCTACAAGAGAATCTTTATCATGTTTTCCTTGATAACGATATTTTTCTTCACCATTTCTAAGAAGATCAAGTTTATGACAGACATTGATTCAGTGACAACTGAAATTAAAATCTTTGCCAAATCTTTTTAAGGTTAATATTCAGACAGATTAATCAAAATATTATACTGTGTAAATACATAAAGAAATAGACAACTATTGATTCCTCTTGAAATACTCATAAGAATGGTCACAAATAAATAATAAGATTTTCCATAAATATGCATATACTGACAGCAGGACCCAACTAACTCAAAAACAGTTCAAGGCATACTTAGAGAGTTACAGAAAGCTGCATCTTCAGTTGAACTCTTCAGTTCAACCAGCAATTAACCCTTTACACCCCAACATCAGAATCCATATTCTCTATACTGTTCTCTCTAAATTTCCTGAGTTGCAGACAGGGAGAATTTGTATAAAAATTTTAGAGCTTCTTTAGTTGGTTATCATCCCCTTCATTCTTGTGACCTTTAATGAGTGATTCAAGTGTGACATTGTGAAGAGAAATTAGATGCTAGTCACTCGTAGGGGTAAAAAGGTTAAAAATACACCTCTACAGAAGTCAGTTCCAAAAAAATTTGAAATAAATGTATAACTGGGCCTTACTCAAAATATATTAAAGTTGGAAATCCTGTGATATTGAATTTTTCTCTGATTTGATATGCTTCATAAGTATCTACATCCATTCCAGCCATTATCTGTTGGAATAAAAAATTGGTATGACTACCAAATTACATGGACATGGAACTTTCATGAACCAAGGAGTAACAGCTGGTCATGTAATCTGCACATGGTCAAAATAAATTCAAAATCTGGCCACAGGTCTTTTTCCTACATGGTTGCTTAACTACACAACAGTCTCAGTATTACAATAAAAGGATTTAGGTCACTTAAGTAATTTTCTACTGGTGAATTTTCAATAGGAGAAAATTTCTTAAGTCTAGGCCTAAATAACTTTATTAGCATAATTTCTGTCAATGTTATATTTTGTATATTGAACTACTTACAATTAATATCAATATTTTACTTTGTCCCATTCTAATTTTTTATAAATTTAATTATTGATGCACTGCTTCATTATAACTATGTATTAAATTTAAGAATTCTGTATCCAATAAAGAATGTATCTATCTATCTTTGAAGTCTGAATGTCTACAAAAGTGTAGTCCTAAAAAAGGTTATTGTTGGTGACAGTGATTGATTGATTGTGTGGCATGATCATCCAAGTGAGAGTCATCCTGAGAAGGAGTTTTCTCAGTGGTAACTGATGTTTCAACAACCAATCCCATTAACATGTTCACCACCCAATATGTCATGAATTTGTTTGAAAAAAACTTACAGCTTCTCCTTTAAGTTCAGTGGCTGCTACAGCATAGTCAGGTTTTAACTTTTTACAATAACCACACCCTAAAATTCAAATAATGAGATACAATGAAGTCACAATAACGCAAACAAGCATGGACCAGCAAGAGCAAGCAGCGTTGAGGAAGGGCACACAGGAATGAGCAGGGATGAACAAGGGTAAGCAAGAGTAAGCAGGGGTGAGCAGG